AACACCCTACCACTGTGCTATCACTAACTTCCTTCTAAGGAAACATTTTTTGGTCATACTTGTAGTAAATTATTTAGAACATGAAAGTTAAAATAAATTATTGAGGGCCTGCTATGGGGACAGGTTCAAGGGGCGGTTGGGAAAATTGGAAATAATGATGGTGGGAAGGTGCAATGGTGGTGGCATTGATGTTTGAATATTGAATGTAACTAAACTAATGATTTAATCACTGTCACTGTCACTGTCCTCCCGTTGTTCATCGATTTGTTTGAGCAGGCCCAGTAACGTCTCCATTGGAGACTTTGCTGTTACTGTGTCTGGCATATCAAATCATCACGGGGAGCTTGCCAGGCTCTGCCGTGCGGGTGAGATACTCTCGGTAGCTTGCCGGGCTCTCCGAGAGGGGCGGAGGAATCGAACTCAGGTCAGCCATGTTGGCTGCGTGCAAGGCAAACGCCCTACCGCTGTGCTATTACTAAAGTTATTATTTTTTTTAATCAAAAAAATTAAAATAAAACTCTATATCTTGGGGCCAGGAAGATAGTACAGAGATTAAGGTGCATACTATGTGTGTTTCCAAGCTGGGTTCATCCCCAGCACTACATGATCCCTCCACCATCAGAGGGTGTAACTCTGGAGACTTTCAAGCACCCCCAAGGGTCACCTGGTGGACCCCAGCCCTATAGTGCCAGACCAGTGCCATAACAACCATGGGACCTTGTAGTGAACCATCTGATTTTATTGAGAATTATGGGGAGTGACCCTGGGTTCCCTGAACACCCCTTTGGGGGAGCTCTGACCCCAAAATATAAAACTATGCTTAACTTAAATGCTCTTCTTCCATCCCAAACCACTTATCCAAAGCCAACTTTGGTACCAAAGAGTTTGAAGCTACCACTGCCTGAGACAGAGAAGGTGGATACAGGAGAAGCTTACAGTCCTTTTATAGAGTTGCTCCAATGTATTTGATTGGCTCACCTGTCAACATGCAAAAATGAAGAGACTCACTTATCTGTAGGAAAAAGTGATTGAGGCCAGGAATCTTATTCCATTGATGTCCTAAGTCACAGGGGGAAAAAATAATGAAATAAAAGGAGTTTCCATTCCAATAATCACTTCTAAATCCCTCAAGCAACCAAATCAGAGCAGAACCAAGATAGAGGGCACAAACTTTTGAAACTTGTGTCATGACAAATGGTCTTGCAAGGGCTACTAATTGACACCTTCTTCCAATAGCTCCATGAGTAGTTGACTCAGTCTGCAGGACTTAGTAACAGAAACCAACAATCTCCTTGACCTCCCACTTCCTGCATCCTGTTTAGTTAGGTGAGGCGATGGATTATGAATAAATTTCACCTGTATCATCAACACTCTATGGCAATGAAATAGACTTCAGACTCTCCTTCTGCTGCAGTGATTAAGAGGTCCCACATTTAAAACAGTGATGCTGCACACCTTCACAAACCTAGGTCCTCAGCAAGGGAAAAGAGCTCAAAGGGCAATACCATGGCCACGGGAGAGTTGAGGAAGAACACAATTTCTAGAATATAGAATCGATTCCAAAACCATTTTCCACACTGTTGTGTAGAACCTGCAGAACAGTGCTTAACCCAGGAGCAGAATTGCAGACCAATGAATGAATATCACCCACCTACTTACTGCTCTCTGTGGTTCCCAACCCAGAGTATTTATCAGCATGACCTGGATCCTAATCTACCATTGCAAGTTGGGTTTAAGAGAAGTATTATAACATGTCTTTTTCATGCTTTAGATTCTGAAGCAATATGAAAACATGAAGAGAAACTATTGTTGGACCCCTCAAACATTTCATACTTGAATCTCAAAGTATGAAAGTATCTCAAAGTCACATCAAATCTGATGTGACTTCAAATCACTTCTCTTGAGAAGGGGTTAAGTGAATCCTATAAGATGTGTGTGTGGGGTGGGGGGGACACTGAGGAGGGGCAGTGAAGGAACAAATGGAATGGAAAACTATGACAGTGACAGTGTTATTCACCAGGCACTGTGGTTGAACAAGGCTGTCAACTAGTTCTAGCCAATGTGGTGAAAGAGAAATGGGCCATGTCTTCCTACAATCAAGACACAACTTTGTATTAACCAACTTTGTGTTAATGTGGCAGAACCACAAGGTTTAAACATTCTACACTGCTGAGTCACTGCATGGAGGACACATTCCCTGCAGTTACATAAGCCCATAGACTTCCCATGAAAAATAAATTAGCGTGAAGTTAAATCAACAAGGTTCAGATTTGCTTCCTACTGCAAGCTGTTTTATATAAACCACAAAGGAATAAAATTTTGAAATTGCTGAAAGTCATCTTGATCTTATTTTTATTTGAACTCTGTAAGAAGTCCTGAGGAAAAGTTTTGCCTGTTCTATAACTGCAAATATCCTTTCTATTCCCAAGTTTTCCCCAAAACTGTTCTGAATTATACCTGCTCTCCTGGCAAAATCAGTTGTGCCCTTTCATACTTAAAAGTGTACAGTTTTGATAAATGTTATGGTCATCTTAACTACAGGCAATTACAACAAAATCCCTATTTGAATCCCATGTTTTTTAAAAATATATATATATATAGCCTCACACATAGAATATCTATTGAAATACTCACTACCTCCATTTTGTTTATCAACAAGCATATTTGGGACTGGAGCGTTAGCACAGCGGGTAGGGCATTTCCCCTATACACAGCCTACCCGGGTTTGATTCCTCCATCCCTCTCGGAGAGCCTGGCAAGCTACTGAGAGTATCCCGCTCAAACAGCAGAGCCTGGAAGCTCCCCATGTTGTAGCTGATATGCCAAAAACTGTAACAACAAGTCTCACAATGGACACATTACTGGTGCCTGCTTGAGCAAATCGATGAACAACGGGAGAACACTACTACAGTGCTACAGTGCTACAAGCGTATTTATTACAAGATTAACATTTCCTACATTATTTTTCTTCCCTTTCACCATTTCCATTATGGCTTTTCAATATGTCACAATCCAGGTACATGTATCTTTGACACCTGACTATATCACAGTTATCAATACCACTTACTTCTTACCTTTTCTGCCCCAACTTGAACCAAGTCCCCATTCTTCTAGATTACTCTAATAGCTTTCTAACTCTAAAATTTACTCCTCCCTTCTATTCGCTAACACAAAAGTCATAATGACTTTAAAATATAGATTATGTCCCTTCCTAGTTTAAGAAAATTCAGTGCTGCTAAAACCAAAACCCTAAGACTGTAAATTCTTAAGTTCCTTCATGGTCTAACCATGTCCACTTTCTTGGACATGGTTAAATCACCTTTAATTCCGACCTCCCGCATCTCTGTATTCTAGTCATTCTTCCCTTCTATTACTCCCCCAGCAAATCATGTGTTATCTGACCCTAAAATCACTTCCTTTTTTTTCTATCTGCCAGAAATTGCTAAATTCTCACCAAAACACATTGGCCTTACCTACCTAGGTACACTGCTAGACTCCATTTCTCAGAATTCCATGCAGTAATGGGACTAACAAATACAATTCTATGCAATGTGATATTAATAGAACTATACCAATCCCAGGTCTGACTCATAAATACATCTCTCAGAATGTCCATGCCTTTTCCTCTACCACTGACCCTAGTGGAGATGACAACCAGTGCAACTGTGTAGGAGACAGTCAATCTTCTATCACATTGGATCCCAGAATGACTTATGAAAAAATGTTGCCTTGCACAAAACCAGGCTGTGTTCAATCCCCAGCACCCCACATAGCCACCCAAGCACCTCCAAGAGTGAGGTGGACAGAGCCAGGAATAAGATTTGGGCACTGTTTTTGTGCCAAAAACAAAAATAGGAAAAAATTACTTCGTCTTTCTACTTTCTGTCCTGTATAAGGTACCTGAATAAGGAATGTATTTCCACTGTGCTTACATTATTACTATATATTTAAGTCTATTAATATAACACTTAGCACTATTTTAACAAAAATATGTACCATAAGCATTGATCTACCATACCACCAGCATCACACACCTGTTTACACACACAATACACACACACACACACACACACACACACACACACACACACACCTATACTCTGCATTGCTCACACCTCATATTTCAAGTCAGGGTTTTTAACACATTGAGAAACCATCATGAATCTTCTTGTTCAATCTAAATGTCTCATTCTTTCTCTTCATGTCAACTCTTCCCTATCATTTTACTCATCAATACCTAATTATATATTTATTTGTATGTGCTTTTAAACCTGCATCCATAATTAAACTCTAAGATCCATAGAATCATAGCCTATGTCCACAAAGCTAATAAACACAGGGCTTGTATTTTACCTGTAATACATCCATCAATTAACAATTTTTAAGAAATATCTCTTAATAGAGGATAATCAAATTAGAGGTCATGATCACGGGAACACTTTGTCATGAAGCTACGATTTCACATCAAAAGTCATACAGAATTTAAAATAAAGACCATACGAATATACTTTTTTGATACATATTTAACCTTTATTCATTGGAATGCAATTCTGGGCCAATCCACAACCAAGATAAAAAGATTAAATCCTGTAGTAAGAACAGGCTGAATAACATGACCATACAGTCCCCTCTATGTATAATCAAGAAATCAATTTTCATTCCTTTCATAGAACTTCTTGCTAAACATTTACATTTTCTTCCCATCAAAAAATGCATTAAGAGGAGCATGCTTATATAGCTAGTCAGCACAAAAAACAAATACAATATATACTGTACTATTTAAATCTTGCAGTATATAGTGTTCCCCTTTCCAAGCCTTAGCTGTTGGCCTTTTCAGTGGCATTCCTTATATGACACTGTCACCAATTATGTTAAAAGCACTTCACTAACTTTTAAAAACTAGATTACTCAAAACATAGATATTATAGATAATACATGGATATTGTATTTAAGCATAAGATGGTAAGATCATTCATTATCTTTTCTACAATCCTCTGTGCAATATATGTCGGAAAATGAAGTACTATAAGAGAAGAAATATAACAGTTTCTTACATTTTACCTAAGAGTCTATTTAAGATCTATTAATATTTTAATGGAAAAAATAAATGTTAAATATTAACTGCACAAATTCTAAAAGAAAATGGCCACATTACATAATACTACTTTAGATTACAAGCAGCTAGTTAGAAGCCTTTTTAAAAATTTAAAGTTTCTGACATCATTTTCCACCATTCCATCAATTCTTCTTTTTCTTCTTCTTTCCTTTCAGAAAATGACTCCAACTCAAAATCAACCTAGAAGAGAAAATAAGTTGATCAGCTACAAATACATCTATATAAACAAACTGAAAGCCACTTTAATAAGAGTAGTTTTAGAGTTTGTGGGATAAACCCAATCCAGCCACCTGAATTTAAGTATATTCTAAAATAATCCTTATCATAAATAAAAAGTTATTTTTAGGATTAAAAAATCAGTAAAATGATATTTTCAGGGAAAAATATATTATAAATGACTTTGGTCTAATAGTTTTGCAGGACTATTTAAGAGATTCTTAAAAACAGATTCATTTTGTTTTGTTTTGGGTCCATTACCTGAAATACTCAGGTGTAAGTTATTCCTGGCTCTGCACTCAGGGATCATCCCTGGCAGGGCTCAAGGACCATGTGAGATGCCAAGGATGGAACCCGGGAATCTGAGTTGAGCACATACAAGGCAAGTAACTCATCCTCTGTAATATCTCCCCAGACCCCAGATTCTTCTTTTATTCGTTGGTTTGTTGATTTGGTTTTTTGATATTGGATACACCCAGGAGAGACAGTACAACTTAAACAAACAGGGTGTGATGCTTTTGCTATGGCAAGGGGACAACAATTTTAGTGAAATACGGTGTCCTCCTCAGATCTGCAGAGAATCCCTACGCATTTGCACTGAAATACTATTCAAAATATACTTGACCAACTCCATCCTTCTGAACAACCCTTTAGATATCTGTGCCCAATGCAGAAGGAACTAAAAGCACCTGTGATTACTGAGGGATGTGATGTCACACCCCATGGTACTCAGGAGTGATCCCTGGTGGTACTCAAAGGCCTCTAACTGCTGCACTATGGCTCTGGTCCCATAAGGGAACATTTTACAAACTGCCTCTAGAGCATTTACAGGGTGGGGGTGGGGGAATGGGTTTACACCTGGAAATCATGGCTAGTCCTGCCTCTACATTAAGGGCTACCTTTGGTGGTGATTGGGGGACCAGATGGGATGCCCAGGGTCGAACCTGGGTTGGCCACATGCAAGGCAAATGCCCTACCTGCTATACTTACTATTCTGGCCCTTAGAGCTACTATTAAGAAGTTTCTTTTGTTTAAATTATCTCCTGATAGAGATAAGTAAAGATATAAAGTCTAACATAGACATACCATCAAAACCAAAGACTAGTTTAATAATTCATGAATCAAACATTTATATTCCTATATTAGATACACAATAAAAGCATAAGATTTTTTTTTTAGTCAATAAGTCCTAGAGTCAAGGAGATAATTCAAAATGTCGGCATACGTGATTTTCATGTGGGAGACCCAGGTTTGATTCCCAGCACCACATGATCCTTTGAGCTCAGTCAGGATGGGCCCTAAAGTGCTACATTTGCTGCAGCTTCCAAGCACTGCTAGGTGTAGCCCAAACCCCCATTCAACCAAAAAACTTATTTTCAAGTAATAGTTTTGATTAGAAACCCTGTAAGTAATTCCACAATGCCTGTCATGTAATACAAAGAATGTAATACAAAACCCTGTTGTAAAGGAGTTTAGTTTTGACCATTACCGTGTTGCTCAAAAATAAAAAATTCAATTTAATATTTATTAAGCATTTATTATGAGAAGTGTTCATCTTACATAGTAAAAAGACATAAATTTAAGACAGACTAGAACATATACAGAGCCAGAGTGATAGTATAGCAGGTAGGGTATATGCCTTGCACTCAGCTGACCCGGGTTCAATCCCTAGCATCCCATATGGCCCAAAAAACAAAAAAAAAATAGAATATGTATGTGTTGTAATGTGATATGTGTCTAAAAGATAAATTCCATTTAAATTTAAATGTACAAGTCAAGTTAAATTTTAGCTATACTATGTCTCAGTATACTATATAATCTCTCTGGCCCTTATATGGTACTCTTTTCTACAAAAAAAATATGCTCAGTCTCCTTCACAATTTTTCAGCTATGTCATATTTTATATTGTATCTTCAGAAAAGATTTCATAATGTTAGGTTTAAATGTGTGTGTGCCTAACAGGATGAATAGTGAAATTCCTAGTTCTGGAGCAGACAGGCAGATAGCAGGGGACAGGGAGTTCTCAGGAAGAAAACCAAGATGTGATTCAAAGAAGTTAGTCTGTCACTAGCCCCGAAGTAAAAACAACAGCAAAAATCCCAAACCCGGATGTCTGGACCTACTTGATGGAACCAGGAATGAAGCTGATAAAATTCTCATTGGTGCCAGTGGCACCCAGAGAAGACTGGACCTCTCCACAGAGAAGCACCACAGGAACAAGAGGCAGGAACAGGAAGGCACACCAGCCTCAGAAAGGTCAAAGCTCTTTCCCTTTGACAATGCCCTCGCAACAGACTTATCCACACAGAAACTCCCAAACAGTTTATGAGAAAACCAACTCTGCAAAGGCAAGTGGAAATTTTCCCATTCTGGGGTCACCCGTATTTCAGTTTGTTTGATGAACAAACATAGCGGTGCTCAGGTCTGACTCCTGGCTCTGTACCCAGGGATTACACCTGAGTTTTCTTAGGCCATCTTTGGGTGTGGGGGATGGGACCCGCATGGACCTTGTGCAAGACAAGTGCCCTCCCCCACAGCCCTATCTTTTTGGCCCCTCTATATTTCATTTTGGAATGTGTCATTTCTTTATTTTACTTTCTGGGGTAGAGTGGGGTCTTTATCACCTGGGGGGAAGTCCATGTTTTCTCTCTCACTCTCTCTCACTCTCTCTCCCTCTATCTCTCCCCTCCCTCCCTGTCTCTGTTTCTCTGTCTGTCTGTCTCTGTCTCTCTCTCCCTCTCTCCCCACCCCACCCTCCCTCATAACCTTCACCACTTGTCTTCTTCTGAAATTCTTTTTTTTCTTTTTGGGTCACATCTGACGATGCACATTGAGTGGTATTAAATTATATAATCAGGACCTTGATTTTCCAACGAATGTGGATTCAGTTTTGTCTCCTGTTTACTGGGAAAATAATGATACCTAGCTCATGGGGGGGGGGGGGCTAATAAGAAGATTGAGTATAATTCACTTAAATATGCACGATAGATGGTTAAGGGCTTAAAAAATCTTGGCTTTCTATGAAACTTACCTTAACAGCAGGGCTGTAAGGAACCGCCACCTTCTTTGTTATTGCCAGGTAGCCTGGGGCTGAGGCTGTAAGTTTATAGTTCCCGGGTACCAACAATCTCCAATAATCACCATCTTTTGCTGTAGGGAAAGAAATACCAGGTTCCAGACACAAATGTGAAATACATAATAGCACCACAAGGAATATCTACCCCACCTCAGTTCACCTTCTCTGGCTCCCTATCTTCAAAGTAGACATTTATGGAATCTGATGGAATTCCATTGACAAGAAACCCTGCGGCACTTGTGTGAACACTGATGCGAAAGATCCAATAGACCTTCTGAGATAAAGCATCCTTACTTTATCAGAAGTTACGCAAGGAAGAAGACATCCAAAGCTCCCAAGCAGTGGTGCATAACCTCTGGCATTCTGCTTTGGTTCTTGCCAAGAATTTGATGTTCTGAGAGTTCCAATCATAGCTTCACAAACTGTGCCCCAATCAATAACCTCACCAGAATCCCTGACACGTTTGTTAGAGATTTACTTGCTTTTTTTTTGGGGGGGGGGGGGGGGGGAGGAGTGGTTGTTTGATTTTGATTCTGTTTCGGGACCACACCTGGTGATGCTCAGAGGTTACTCCTGGTGGTGCTCTGGGGACCATATGGGTTGCCAGGGAAGGAATCCCGGTTGGCAGTATGCAAGGCATGCACCTTACCTGCTGTACTATCGCTCTGGCCCCAGAAATGTTGTGTTTTTTCAAGATTCAGAATATGTTGGCTTTCTGGCACCTGCATTTTCAACCCTTTCTCCAGGGGACGCTACAGCAGATTCACCTGCTCTTTTTCATTCCTCATGACTCAATCCCTGCTCCCCCTGCACTAGATTAGGCCCTCCAGGCCTCCACGAGAAGCGCCCACGCACAAGCCTTCCACTCTCTTGCTTTTCCCTTTAGGCGCATAGTCCCTGTGAACTACCCACCCTGGAAAACTTCCAACTCCCCAGGTGGCCAAGGAGACAGGAAAAAAAAAACACTGCAGCAAGATTTACTAATACTCTAATAAATCTCTACTGTATCTCCTATTCTCCTGGACACTCCCCATTCAGGCTCCTGTCACTCTACTGAAAGAGTTTTATCTCAATTCTCCACACTGGTTCATTCACGACGTTCATCTCCCTTGACACTTTAGTACATTTCTCCTTAGAACATTTTTTGGCTTTCAAGACAAAATGTCTATCTCAGACTCCATCGCTTATTAAAGCGTAAAGCTACCGGCCCCATAAAAGCTACTCTTCCAAGTCCGTGCTTTTCTCTTATGTTTATACCCAAAATAAAATAATAAATAAACAATAATATAATATTATTATATTTATTATCAACTTATTTTATTTAAATAAAATTTTAAATATTAAAATAAAATAAATTAATAAAACATAAAATAAATCTTATGTTTATTTTCTAAAATTGTCACATCTTGTAATGCAGAGAAAGAATATGTGGGTGGCGTATAAAGATTAACAGGTGTTAGGGGCAATTTATTGTTCCTGGGGAGATCAGTACCCCAGGGTCATCTTCAGGACCCCCTTTCCGAGGGCTGATAGGAACCATACCTTGGCCTGGATTCTGATGTGTTGAATGAGGACATGAGCTGGCATGTAGAGGATTGTTGATAAATGTTTGCTAACTAAATGGAGCTTTAGAGGATAAATGTTACAGATTTTTTTAAAAATACATGCTACAAATGCGGAAGTTAAGAACAAGATAATGGCAAAGGGTGGTTTAGGAAACAAGCTAAAGGTGCATAAATTGTAAGACCCAGAACTAAATAAAGAATATGTAGTTAAAAGATCCCAACAAACAACAGTTAAACTAAAATGAATTGGATAGATGTTTATTAACAGGGAATCTTCAAGAAAAATATTTCCTTTTCCTCAAAGCCGATAAAATGGAAATGGGGCTTTAAATTGGGGGTGGGTGAAAATATCACCAACCACACGCCTGTAACATTCTGTTTAACCTTGAGTTAGCTCTGGGTTTCTTGTACAGATTAAAAGCTAAGAACTCTTAGATATGCCTCTCTCTAGGCCTACTATCTCCTTCCTTCTAAGGCTCACCACTAATATCTAGTGAGCACCTCTGAAGAGAGAACAAAGACACAGGCCTTTAACCAGTCATCTGTTCTTGGGCACGAGGCTTTTTTCCAGATTCTGGCTATTATAAATAGTGCTGCAATAAACATACAAGTGCAATAAACATACAGATGTCATTTCTACTGTATTTTTTTTGAAACTCTAGGATATATTCCCAGAAGCAGTACTGCTGTAATGGGAACTCAATTTCCAGTTTTTTGAGAAACGTCCATATTGTTTTCCAAAAAGGCTGAACCAGTCAGCAGTGAAGGAGAATCCCCTTCTCCCCGCATCCACGCCAATAACTGGTTGCTTTTGATCTTTTGGATGTGTGCCAGGCTCTGTGGCATGAGATGATATCTCATTGTTGTTTTGATCTGCATCTCCCTAATGATGATTAGTGATGAAGAGAATTTTTCATGTGCCTTATGGCCATTTTGGATTTCTTCTTTGAGAAAGTTTCTGTTCATTTTATCTATCGCCCCATTTTCTGATATATGATCATCTAATCTTTGATAAGGGAACAAGAAACATAAAGTGGAGCAAGGAAAGCCTCTTTAACAAATGGTGCTGACAAAACTGGACAGCTACATGCAAAAAAAAAAATGGGCTCAGACCTCTACCTAACACCATGCACAAAAGTCAGATCAAAATGAATTAAAGACCTCAACATCAGACCAGAATTCGTAAGGTACGCTGAAGAAAAGGTCAGCAAAACCCTCCACAAAACTGAAGCTAAAGGTATCATCAAAGACGAAACGTCACTGACCAAGCAAGTGGAAACAGAGATAAATAATTGGGACTATCTTAAACTAAGAAGCTTCTGTACTTCAAAACACAAAGTGACCAGAACACAAAGACGGTCTACAGAATGGGAAAGGATATTCACCCAATAGCCTTCTGATCAGGTAATATCAAGAATATACAAGGCACTGGTTGAACTCTACAAAAAGACACGGGCACTATAACTCTAGTTCCGGTAACTTTACAGACTGTGGAGTTGGATGGCCCCACCCCACAGTTCCAGACGGCCCCAAACTGTGCAAAGGGCGCCATCTGCTGCTCCCCAAGTTCTGAACTCAGCAATCACTCAAAGCCTGTTCAACTGGGTCCCACAGATGAACGTGAACTGGACCAAAGCTAAGGAGAGACAAACAAGGTCATGTGGCATGGCCTGGCTAGAGTGGCACAACCTGAGAAGAAGTAATCGTGCTCCTATGTGTTCCGGAGTGTCTCCAACGTATGCAGACGACACTCACCAGAGGTAATGTCATGCTCGATTCCTTCCACAGAGATGCTGGCATTGGCGATCGGGTTACCTCGAAGATCTCTGACGAATCCTTTAACTCCTCGATGAATCTGTGAAAGACATGGAAGAAAAAAAAGATTCATACTATAATGACCTAAACACATGGGTCATATAAAAAAAAATCTCATTTTCAAGCCAAGTACAGTCTAGAGCTCCTCACAGTTTAACACTCAAAAGATGCTTAAAAGGTCAAGGGCCATTAGCCCTCCTTTCTCTGTTTTGTCTCAGGTGTACAAATGAGAAGGAATCTTCAAAAATGGTTTCTTATTCTGATTCAAAGAAAGATGCTGAAGTACCTTTGAACCATCAAAGAGAAACGAAGAAGACAAAGTGTCATATTTACAAGGTAATTCTGGTCCTCACATATTTCATTACTTTCTCTTTTAAATGAGGTCATCTGTGTATACTTCACACAATATACCTCGTCAATTAGGAATGTTACATTACAGCACTTCAATACTTGTTCACGGTGCATAAAAGATATTTACCGTTATATTTTTGCAGAGAATACATCAGCAATATTATTTGGGTTGAATATCAGGGCATGAAAGGCCAGTGAGTTCCATAAATTTGGAAAGAAAATGAAGAGTTGTTCTTGAGAACAAATTCCCTGAATTAAATTGTAATTATCAATAGCTATTGCAATACAATCTACAGAAACAGCTTTTATCCCTTCTCTTTTCTTTTTTGGGGGGCGAGTGGGGGATCACACTGGCAATGCACAGGGGTTACTCCTGGCTTGGCACTCAGGAATTACTCCTGGCAGTACTCAGGAGACCATATGGGATGCTGGGATTCAAACCTGGGTCAGCACGTGCAAGGCAAATCCCCTACCCACTGTGCTATCATTCCAGCCCCTATCCCTTTTATTTTCAAGTAATGATTTAACTAAGCCAATTTGTGTGTGATATGATAGTCTTATGGAGTTTGAAAAGTAAGACTTCTAGAATATAGAATGGTGATTCATTAAACTTGATGATGTAACAAAAGACGCCCAACCTCCCAAAGGTCCATGCTGTTCACTCAATCTGGCCCCTAAAATGAGTTTTCTTTTATACTAATGATACTTAAATATTATTTCCATGCAGAAGAGAGATAAAATCTCATGTGTCCCAGGGTTAGCAGAATAAATTTGGCAGTCATAGTTTTTTGATATAGTTCTATATCAAAGAGCTGCCACTGAATATTAACAAATGTTTTTACGTTTGCTTTTTTAATGTAGACCCTCTAAAATTATGAAAGTATCTTTTAACTCTTTTCTCTAAAGACAACTAACAAATGGTAAAACACTATGTATACTGTTAGTAATAATAAATGTTAAGCTTATCAGTCACAACAAAAGGATGAAGAAAGTAAATACCATCTATAAACCAAAAAAAAAGCCATTAGAACTTAAAGAATCTTTGACTTTTCCCAAGAATTAGCCAGTCAAGTCTGAGATCAAAGAATTAGTAAAGTAAAAGTAAAGTAAAGGCCCTCCCGTTGATCATCGATTTGCTCGAGCGGGCCCAGTAACGTCTCCATTGGAGACTTTGTTGTTACTGTGTCTGGCATATCGAATACTCTTGGTAGCTTGCCGGGCTCTCCGAGAGGGGCGGAGGAATCGAACTCGGGTTGGCCATGTTGGCTGCGTGCAAGGCAAACGCCCTACCGCTGTGCTATCACTCCAGACTTTTCCCAAGAATTAGCCAGTCAAGTCTGAGATCAAAGAATTAGCCAGTCAAAATTGAGATCAGAATATAGACACAGAACACATGAAACTTTAGCTTCCTGAATATAATTCACATAGTTAAAGTATTCTTGAGTATCAGAAATACTGTGGAGTAGGAGAGAAGTCTTCACACAGAGACAGCATAAAAAAACAGGGAAAATCCTAACTTGGATTTTCTTAATATAACTTAAAGTTTACAAATGCTTTCTATGCTTTTGTAAACTAAACCCACATATGCTTTAGTCATCTGGAGACACTATCTGATATCATAAATACTGTAAACTTTGAGAAATGCATTATAAATTTCCTCATCAATGGGAAATAAAACAATCTCTTCGAAAGAGATATAATTCACCTGCATTAGGCAAAAATATATGTAATTAATCATTGCATAACTGAAACCCAAGCACAACAACTTGTAAGTCTACAACTGTACCTCATGGTGTTTTACTAATAAAAAAAAGCTAAAAAAAAAGAGCAAAGGGAATGAGAAATATTTAAGACTTTTTTAAAAAAGATTAATCCAGCTATTCAGCAGCCAAAACAGTGACTTAGTATGCGTTGATGACCTTTCTTTCCATTAATTAAATGGAGTAGGTTAAGGATGTGGCATAAAGAAAATGTTTGCTAAACCACTGGTCAAAAGCAATAATGCCAAGTGCATACAGGAATTTAAGCAGTTTGCGACTTTAAGCTCAAATTCTTGACTGTTAAATCTTTAAAAGAATTAAATCACTTTTTCTCCCCCCCCCAAAAAAAATATATATGTAATTAATATTTACAACTTTTTTCTGATGTGCAATTTACCAAATAGAGAATAAGGAAAAGACTAACTCTTCTTTTTGAAAAATTCTACTCCCTGAGGCTGTCACAGCCCTACATGACAATCGATCAAAAAAGGATGCTACTTCATGATCTCCGCAAAGGAAATCACAGAAGTTCAAATTTCACAGAAACTCTCTACTACTTTTGACCCTCCTATAATATTCTCTCCTCTGATTCTAGGACATTTCAATCAAGAAAGACTATAAAAATAAAACAAAAATCTAGAACATTCTCCATTGCTTCCAGAACTGTTATCAGTCAATACCAGCCTTTAGATGTTAGTACTTTTATGGGTGACCCAGAATGGACCCAGCAGAGTGGGATTCAGTAGCAGAACAAAAAAATCATTTGTGGGATAGAGAGAGGATGTTGGGTGTACTCAAATCCCAATGCTGGCTCTGTGCTCAGGTCTCAATCCTGGTCGTACTCAGGGAGCCACGTGCATCCTGGAATCGGCTGTGAGCAAGACGAATGTCTTGATCCCTGTAATCCCCCAGATGAAAAAAACTTCTTTTTAACAAGAACCCAGATGACTCTGACACCTGTAATACAGGTGACACAGGGGGTCCATGGACCCCTCTTTGATACTATCTTGGAGAACTGTGAGGACCAAACTGTCCCATGGCTCCTGTAAGGGAGGCTCTCCTCAGCAAGTCATTCACCCTCATTACCATTATCATCCAATTCCCCGAAAACTCAGCCTTGAGCCCATGGAAGACATTCTTTTCCTTTCACCAGTTACACAATTGGATCTCTTAATTACCCAGTTTCCATGTGTCTTGAACAAGCCCATGCTTGGCTTTTAGGCCCAGGTGTTCAGTCACTCATCATCACCACAGCCCATCTTGGGTAACAACTGCTAAAATGCAGGAGCTCCGGGAGTCTTCACTGATCATTCACCCACCTTTGATTTCCGAAAGTGAAGTGCCCCTGAGACAAGCTCTGCAAATACATTCACACAGCTTGGGGCACACTGACACCATGGGCCTGTGGGATAGCTCAGAATCTCATTCCAGGGCTGGAGTAATAGCATAATGGGTTGGGAGCTTGCCATGCACGAAGCATACCCTGCTTTGACCCCGAGCATCCCATATGATCCCCCAAGTACTGCCAGAAGTGATCCTGTCACAGAGCCAGGAGTAAGCCCTGAGCACTGCCATATGTGGACCCCCAAAAAACAAACAGAGATAGTATAAGAAGAAAGGTGTTTGCCTTACACACAGCAGACACCAGTGCAGTCTTTAGTACCACATATAGAACCCCAAACTCCACAGAGGGGGATGCTTGAGCACACAACCCTGAGTCCAGAGAAAGAAACAGCCCTTGAGCACTGCTTGGTCTGGTCAATAGTCCTCCCCACTCAAAGGGAAGAAAACATCTCATTCCAAGCCACATAATAGAGAACTATATGAACTGGTCCCTCTGCTTTTTAGATCATTTCATACAAAGTGATAGAACTATGGAACACATTGAAGAATACTCATCATAAACATGACTAATATCCTCTTTCCTGGTGGCACCCATTTGTGCTCTATGCTGCATTTTTTAATAGTAAGAGAGTAATTATGCAACTGAACTTAGATTTTAATTGTTGATCACAGAAAAAGCCAACTGATGTCAACTAAACTTTACAGTGTAGGTAGGCATAGTGTAGTTTAGTATTCTGGATCTGAAATGGCTAGATGTGGATCCTTTGAGGCGCACCCATTGCTTTTTACAGTTTACTTTGATTTTCATATTAATCATAAGCTCTTCTGCCTAGGTATTCATGCTTCTAAAGCCCACTAATATAAAGTCTCGTGACAGTAGTCACTATCCTTAAGTACCTTATGGGGTGCCAGGGCCCAAATATAAATTAATAAGTTTTTATTGTAAAAGTATAACACAACAGGGAATCTAGAGAGATAGCACAGTGGGTAGAGTATTTGCCATGCATGTGACTGACCTGGGTTCAATCCCCGGCAACCTATATGGTCTCCTGAGCACCACCAGGAGTAATTCCTGAGTGCAGAGTCAAAAGTAACCCTTGAGTATTGTCAGGTGTGACCCCAAAAGCCCAAATAAGAAAATGCAAATAAAATGCAAAGCATTACATTAAGAATGTAGTCCTTTTTATATAAGTGGAGCATATGCCAATAGTTCAGTTTAACTTTCTTTACCAAATGCAGTTTTCAGTTAATTTTGCTTTTGAGCAATCTGTCCCAATCAGTTCTTTTCAAAGAAGACATTCTATAGGAGGGACTAAGATGAAGAGACGGAGTCGGGGGAGGTGGAAGAGAAGGGCAGACGGGGATAAGTTTCCTGATGGGGTTGTGAGAATGAAATGTATTGGCTTCAAAGTAAGGCATTTAGAACAATGGCTGGAAAAGAACAAATTCCCCCAATGAAAACTCTTCTGTCACTAGCACCTCAGTTCAGCCATGTAGAAGGTGAAGAAGATGAGGTATGTGAGGCAAAGACACCAACGCTTAGGGGCTGGATCTTCCCTGAGGGACCTGAGAGAGAAGGTCCCTGACGCCATCCATCCCCAGCGCTTCACGACCCTCCTCTAGCACCGGTCCTGCCTACAATCCCTGACACAGCCACACGGACCAGGGCAGAGATGTCCCAGCACTGCCCCTTCTTGGAGCGACATGAAGGAAAACAGGCGGCCAACTCACTTCTCGATAACTATGCAGTTTTAATCAGATCCAGTGACTGTTCATGAACCATAAAACTTTGGCCAGTTGAAGTCCTATGCGAACCGCTGCGGACATGTTTGCCAAGTGGGCCTTCCTTCTGACTCAGGCAGACGCCCCTGTATCAGCACCTCTTAGGTTGAGTGCTTTCCCCTGATGGCTCAGTTTACCTGTTGAAGGTAGCTAATAAGGGAGTCTTTGTTATCCTCCCAGTAGCTCTTCAGAGTCTCTTCAGGTGGAAACTTCTCACAGCTGAGCTCCACGGTAATCTCAAAACAGTTGCTGCTGAGGTAATTGAAGTCTTGCATTCCTGCCAAAGCAACAAATGAAGAGTGAAAATATGTATGTGGTGATAAAACCCTCCACAGGCTGCTCTGCTGAATGGTGAGCCAAATAAAAAGAAACACCAATTGATGCATTTGGGGGATCCCGGAGAGGACCACAAGAGAAATCACCTATGGTGTATGGCCCCCCACGCCCATTACCACTGGGTGACATCCTGGTCCCAAGTCTCATCACCACCACAACAAAGAGCTCACAGCTGCCTCTTTTCTGGAGAATTGATGCTAGAAACCACTGACTAGAGAGGTCGTACCCTTCCAGCTCCACCTAACTCCTCCCTCCACAACAGCCTAGAAACAGTTCAATGACTGTCAGTCAAGGAACCCCAATGACTGATTCCCTTCCCTAAGAGCAAGATAACACTACCCATGATTAATTCCTCAGGCCAAGGCCTGAATTCACCTGAGATCACCTCCTCCTCAGTTCTATCCTCATCTTTAATCTGCTGCCCTATTTCCATAGAGCATTTTTCATAAAGTAAGAAAGGATTCCCTGAGTGAATTATGAGCATCCAAAGCCTGATCTCTACCTTAACTCTGGTGCTGACTTTAATCATCAGTCTAATTTGAGGACTGTGTTTTATTCATTAGTCTATAGGCTATGTATAATAGTAAATATACAGAAATGCATATAAATAGCTAAAGAAAGTCAAAGTTTTCATTGATCATTGTGGAACATAATCATTAGTCATGATTAACATAATTATTATTTTACTGATATAGATTACTTGCATTCTTTTGACAATGAACTATTTGTCCAAAAAGGTGATTACAAGGACTCACTATTTTTGTTGTGGTATGGGGGAAACTTCCCAAGCAGTGCCTATGGAATCCAAGAGCCACTCTGAGAGATACTTAGTCCAGCTGACAGGCTGACAGATCAGGAACAGGCCTGTGAGGCAGCTGCACGGGCCCAGATGTGCTGGGGGACTCAAGGGCCCCACCTAGAGGTGTTCAGGGGCTACCAAGATTATATCTGGCAGAGCTCTGGATGGGGAATGAAAGTAAGGCCCCTTGAACCATCTCTGCTGCCATGTAAGCTCATCTTTACCGACCTTGTTCCAGAGAAGATATGAAATTCGCTTATGTTATGTTATGAAATGAATGGACATGGAGAGTATCATGCTGAGTGAAATGAGTCAGAAGGAGAAGAACAGACATAGAATGACTGCACTCATTTGTGGGCTATAAAAAAATAATAATATGAGACTAATACCCAAAGACAGTAGAAACAGAGATAAGGAGTATTGACCACGGTTGGCCTACCTCAAATGCTGGGGAAGAAGGCAACTGGGATAGAGAAGGGACCACTATGACAAGGATAGTGGGAAATGATCTTTCTGAATAATAACTGCATGCTGAAAATAGGTAAAAGAACAAACAGCATAACCTCTCAGTATCTGTATTTCAAACCATAATGCACAAAAGGAGAGGGCGGGAGAGAGAGAGAGAGGAAGAAGAAGAAGAAGAATCAAAGTGCCTGCCATACTGGTGAGCTGCTAGGAGTGGGGGAACATTGGACATTGGTTGTGGGAAATGTACACTGGTGTAGGGATGGATGTGGAACACTGTATGACTGAAACCTGACCCTGAAAACCATCGTAGCTCTGTATCTGATGGCGATTCAATTAAATATATATATACATATATAGACATACATTTACTCTAATTAAAATGAGAAAGAGTAAACAAAATATACATTTACTTACAGTCAAAACATAACTAACAATAATAAGGATTCTATCTTATTCCCAGAATTTGAAAGTAGGGTAGCAAACCATGTTGCTAAGCATAATTTACATATTTTTCTCTTTTTAATCAAGTTACCCATTTTTAAAAAATATATAGGAGAACTGCTATTTGTTCAGCCATTGATTAAGCTGGTTGAATTGGTTACCCAATTTTTTCATCTTTATTGAGGTCAATTTATATTTTCCAGTAGATGTCTGCAGTCTCCTTCCCTTCAGTTATTATCTTCATCTATTTCTTTTCTTTATTATCACGTTCATTTTTCTTCAATCATAGTGATTTCCTGACATCCACAATACCATACAGAGCAATCACTCAGGCAGAAATCTAATTTTAATGGATGGAGGAACTTGGGTTCAGTCTATTTCTCACGGATTGGGGAGATCTGGAGGGACTCTCATTTATCCTCTAAAGCAATTCTAAGTAGAGCTTGGATCACAGAATCAAAGAGCGGACAGTAAGGTAGTGAGCTCACCCCCAGGCACACTGTACCAGGCCGCGCCATTGGTTGTTCCATCTACAAAGCTGCTATCGTCATCGTTGTTGCGACAGGGTGACCGGTTGGGGTCCGACATGGGAGGGTTGAATGAGGAGTAAGCGCGGGCCAAGCTCTGGAAGATGGCATCATCGGGGCAGGAGCTATATTCATGGGCACTCCCTAGAAAGCAAAGTCGCAGGTGAGAGAAGCAGACACCGGCAGGGTTGAACTCCCCTTGGAACTACAGCACTATGGGGAGAAAGCGAAGTTCTTTAAATACCTAACAGCACACTTAGTTTGGAGGCCTTCTGTCTCTAAAAGTACAAAAAAAGAAATTGGGCAGACTATACATGTTCCCTAGGGACTGAAAGCCTCCCAAGTTTAAACTGACAGGAGCGTAGTGAGGTCAGGGCACGCTGTGAGACTGGCTAAGGATCTGCTCTCCCATCACTCCCCAGGCACTGAGACCCACCGGGGGTCCTGTCCGGGCACCTTCAGGGATAGCCTGGCCAATGCGTGTGTTTGATACAAACATGCATAGGACCTAAAGGAAATAAGCAGGACGGACACCTACCACTCCGAGTCTCATCATAAGGGTAATTGGCCACAAGGTCGCCTCCGTGCAGATTAGCAGAGAGCACAAAAGGGATGTCCATGATCCAATGAATGACAGCCTTGGTCTCAGGAGCAAGCTATGTTCAAGAGGAGAGGTGGAGAGAATTATCAGATTGATCCTATTCATTGATGAGATCAAATGAAAAAGTAAACAGCAATGTACCTAAAAATCTCATCCTGTTTCAAGCACTTTATGGTCGTTTTCATAGATATAAGCAGGGTTTCTGTAGAAGTATTCCCTGTGTCTTTCTAAGATATTTCAATGGTGTTGCTATGTCCTTAAAAACACTACTTTTGGAGGAGTCAGCCTTTCTCTCTTTGTAACTAGAAAACCAGCATGCAAATTACTTAAGAATCTGGGATAGCTCGGTACAGAGAGACGGTACGGCCAGCTAGTAAGGTCTTGTCTTGCATGCAGTAGACTCAGTTTCAATCCCCGGGACCCCATTTGGTTCCTGAGCCAGCCAAAAATGATTCCTAAGTTCAGAGCACATTGGGTGTGCCGCCAAAAAAGGTATGGCAGGGGGAAATCGCTGTATCTGGTTTCAGTGGTAGTTGAGGAGACAAGAAAAAAGGTCGAGCTGGATTCTTGCTTTAGGATGATTCAACTCTAGAATCATGTGGTAGACTTTATTTCCAATTCTTGCTTATAATTTTTTCAGTTCCCTACTTCAAACATTGTTCCTGTGTAAAATAATAATAATCATCATAATAACAGTGGGTTTCTTACAGAGTTCACTGTAAAATGCCAGTTTATTTTGGGATGCTCATCTTAAATTTTCAAACAAATGCAAATGTTTAAGGAATTCGTGTTGTTTCTTTGAATGATTTATAGTCCCTCCTATCTTGGAAGCAAAACAAAGGAGGAAAGTAATTTATACCAAAGAATTAATCCAGAGCCAAAAGCTTGGTACTTTTATGTGATTAGCTTTTAATAGCAACTCGGAAGACTCACAAACTCCCAAAATACCTCTTTGATTTATTTTAAAACAAACAAAGCTTTAATAGAGATGTAACCTGATCTTCTGTGGTTATAATAAGCTCTTGAATTTGTACATTTCTGTTTGATTTACCCAAAGCTCCCAGTAGCTCATTTTAGTGCTCACAATAACCCCTTTCGATAGGTAGAAATCTGAATTCTCATTCCACAGGGAGGAAACTGAACGCTCTGTGCATTTATTACACACCCAAGTTCACCCAACAAAGGATTCAATCTTAGTCTATGAAATCACAAAGGCCACATATATTTTAGTATATCAGTTTTACTCTAACCATGCTATTTTTGAAGTATACCTCATAGTACTATATGTGAAAACTATGATTGAGAATGAGGTATTCTTTTTATTATTATTTGATTGGTTTATCTTAGTCTCTCTATAAAATTATTTCATTGTAAAACATGAAAAGAGACAAGCACAGGGAAGAACATTAAAATGCCCCATAGGGCTGGAGCGATACCACAGCAGGTCGGGCGTTTGCCTTGCACGCAGCCGACCCGGGTTTGATTCCCAGCATCCCATATGGTCCCATGAGCACCTCCAGGAGTAATTCCTGAGTGCAGAGCCAGGAGTAACCCCTGTGCATCGACAGGTGTGACCCAAAAAAAAGGCAAAATAAATAAAATGACCCATAATTTCACCACCTTACATTCTCATGTAATGTAACATTCTCATATCTGAGTCCTTTTCCAAATTGCTTATATAAATTTTATTCATTCATAATATTATTTGTATTTATAATAGAAATAATTTTATTTTTATTTATTAATTTTTTTGTTTTAGGCACCATGATTTACAATACCATTAGTGATAAGGCTTTGTGTACACAATGTTCCAACACCACACCTCCCACCAGAGTGCGTACTTCCCTCCACCACTGCTATATCATTTTTAAGTATAATATTTACATACTGTTTTGTATGCTGCCATTTTTGCTTGACAGCAGAAAGCACCTTTTCATTGAGCTATTCTTCTAAATTATTTTTAAGCTAAAATATATCCAACATGCATCATCCTTAAACCAATAAGTAACCTTTTTATTTATCTACTTATTTGAATTTGGGATGACACCCAGTCGTGTTCAGGTGTCAGTGAGACACACTGACCTCTCACCGCAGTCTATGAGCGAAGGGGACACAGAAGACTAAACTGAGACACAGAAAAGTTTGGTAGCAGTGTGGTCCCTCCAGTGAGAGTGGCCAAGGTTGGATTTAAGCCCACCCTCACAGTCAGCAGTACCATTTCATTAGCACTAGCAACCACAACTGCGGGTGGGGTGAAGGAGGAGATGGGGAAAGATGGGGAATGGGAAATGTTGGTCAAGGGTACCAACTTCTGGTTATAAGATGACAAAGCGCTGAGGATCTGCTGTGTATCATTGTGGCTTAATACTGTGTGTACTTGAAATATGCTAAGATAGTAGAGCACAGTCTTTACACACACACACACACACACACACACACACACACACAGAGGTGACTGAAGTGATGAACATGGCGATTCACTTGGTCGTGATAATCATTTCATAATGCGTGTGTGTATTACATTATCAAGTTGTACACACTAAATAAAAACAGTTTTGTCAATTATTATACCTCCATAAAACTGGGGGAAAATCTCCAATAGATTGTTTACTATGACTGTAAAAGCCAACTGAAAAAACCAGAGCAGATTTTAATATGTCTAGCAGCTACTTGTATTTGTTCTTTGGTAACCTTCGAATATGGCATCGCTAATCTGTCTACTTAAATGTGTATTCTAATCCTTTGCAAATTATATAGCAATAAATATTAATCTACTATATAAATATTTACCAAGCTTTCAAATCTTCTTTCAAATTTAATAATAATAATCAATATATGAAACATTGAGATACTTATACTATCAAAGGAAAAGAAGAAAGATGGGTCAAAGGGCTGGAGCATGTGCTTAAAGCATGTGTGACACCAGCCATGATCCCTGACACTGCTGATCCTCTGAACACTGCCAGGTGTAGACCGCCAGCCCCCATAAAGAAGGATCTTTATGCTATCAAATACACTGATCTTTTCCTTTTCTATTTGATTTTTCCTGTGCCTTAGGCAGTGCTGGGGGTCAAACCCAGAATCTCACCTATACAGAGCAAGTACCACATCACTGAGAAGCATCCCTGGGCCTGCTGATCTATTTGTGATCTTTTCCTTTTGTGTTTAATCACTGTAGCACTGTCATCTCATTGTTCATCAATTTCCTCAAGCAGGCACCAATAACGTCTCCATTCATCCTAACCCTGAGATTTTAGCAAGTGCCAATCAGAGCTCTTTCAGGGTCAGGGAAATGAGACCCATCATTGTTACTGGGCATATCGAATATGTCACAAGGACCTTGCCAGACTCTGCCGCATAGGCAGAATACTCTCGGTAGCCTGCCGGGTTCTCCAAGAGCGAGAACTAGACAATAAGAGGTCATGCGGCTGCAAAAGTGGCCTCACACTTCTGGGAGCTTGGTTTTATAGTCTCTGGGTCTTGGCCGTTGAAGGGATTACACAGATTACATGGTGCTGGGGGCAATTGGTGGGTGTAATGCCTAGCTACTAGAAGATGGGAGATCTGGGTGTAGGAGACCCAGTTCCAATCTGAGCAGGCTTGGAGATCTCAGTCCCGGGTCCCGCAGACCTGGGTTCCTCTGCCAGTTCCTTCATGCATGAGGCTTGTCCAAGAGTGTGGAGAGTGGTCTTAAGCATGGCTGTGGCTGGGTTCTGGAGGTCTTCAGCTGCCAGGGCTCTGCTCAGATTTTGGCATATTGAATACACCATGGGAATATATATATATATAATTTTTTTCACCATTAATTCAGTATTCACCAAGTGTCTGCCATCTAACAAACAGAGGGATTTACAAATTTCTACCCTGTCTAAAAATTATGTTTACCAAGTTTTATTTTAGTAGCACTGTAGCACTGTAATACCATTGTTCATTGATTTGCTCGAGTGGGCACCAGTATCATCTCCATTGTGAGACTTGTTGTTACTATTTTTGGCAAATCTAATATGCCACAGGGAGATTGCCGGGTTCTGCCATGCGGGCAGGATACTCTTGGTAGCTTGCCGAGAACTCCAAGAGGGACGGAGGAATCGAACCTGGGTCAGCCACGTGCAAGGCAAACACCCTACCTGCTATGGCTCCAGTCCTTATTTTAGTAAGTTTATATATTTTACTTTCAGATTAAAATACATCAGGAATATATTTTGATAAATGCAGATATTTATGAGATGACTGTCTCAATTCCATTTATGTAATAATCCACTTTCCATAACAATTTGAAATACTCCCTTAAACTAAATTTGTATGCATTTAGAAATAAAGTTCAAATTAATACAAATTGTGTCCATTTAAAATTTTGATTTACGTCAAACTATAACAACTCATTTAGGAGATTCTGCTAAAAATGTCAACAATGTCTCTTCCTATTTTGCAATAGATCTGTGCAAATTTCTACATCTCCAGTTTGATAGATAAATAGGTCACTGTCACTGGCACCCCGTTGTTCATCGATTTGCTTGAGCGGGCCCAGTAACATTGTGAGACTTGTTACTCTGTTTGGCATATCGAATATGTCACGGGGAGCTTGCCAGGCTTTGCCGTGTGGGCGAGATACTCTCGGTAGCTTGCCGGGCTCTCTGAGAGGGGCGGAGGAATCGAACTCGGGTCAGCCACGTTGGCTGCATGTAAGGCAAACGCCCTACCCGCTGTGCTATTGCTCAGCCCAGATAAATAGGTAAATAAAGTTTGTATGATATGCTCGATAATTAGGTAACTTTGGCTCCTTAAAGATATTAAAGTTGGGTGGAGGGGAATTCTGGGGACATGGTGGTAAAAAGTGTGCACTGGTGGAGGGATGGATGTTCAATCATTGTTTGGCTGAATCTCAAACATAAAAGCTTTGTAACTGTATCTCACGGTGATTCAATTAAAAAAAAGCAATGTGAAGTTCAAACAGCTTGAATAAATAGCAATGGTTGAAAAAATAGCAATACTCCGACATTAAAAAAAAGATATTAAAGTTTTATTTATTCTATCTGTTTGTATCTTGAAGCTTATTGTGTTTTGTGTTTTATTTTGGGTTTAATCCCAGTGCAGAGTCAGGGGCCATTCCTGGCCGTGCTGGGGATCAAATCTGGGTGTCCTCCACTCAAAGCTTGGGTTCCAGTCTCTGGAGATCTCTGCCCAGTCCCATATTGAGTTTTTACTTTTTCTCTGAGCACTGGAGACCTAGCATTGCTTTCTGAGCAACAGGGGAATAGATTATGTTTGCGCATCACTCTGGAGCATTTTTCCCAAAGTTGGAGATAGGTAGCACTTCTCCCTGGGAGGACACCCAAGGGGGCAGGAGTTACCTTAGGAATAGCGAAGGGACACTTTCTATTTGTTCACCTAAGAGGTAGAGTTCAGTGAGGGGCATGGGCAAGAAATGAGTTGGGGTTTTATTTCCTGTGGCAGGGAGACAAATGAGTTTGGGAGTCTGTGCTCTGGAGGAAATGGAAAAGACTGGATGGTGCTGGAGAGACAGAACACAAGAATCAGAAACTCTGCAGTGAGAGTTATAGATGTGAAGTCTCCTGGATCATGAAGAAGATGGGAACCTGGGCAAGACACAGGGTCTCAGGTGGGAGGCTGAGGCCCAGCGAGGCTGCCAAAAGAATTGCAGAGGCAAAGTGAGTACTGATTGGAAAAGACTAGGTAGGAAAAGGGTGGAGCTGTGCAAAGCTTGGAGGAAAACAGTCCTGGAAAAGAATAAGATGAGCGTGTGTGAAATGTCGGAAATGCCAGTCAGACTCTCTGATGGGTGTCTGAATGCAAAGGGGTCCTCGGGAAAGGTCATGGGTAACTGTCTCTCACACTGGGTCCTTCCCTCCAGTCCCACTTCCAATGCCAGCTGACAACCTCCCTGCCCAGCACCAATGACAAGGATCCGTGAAGAACCCATCCTTCATGGCCTCGGTTCACTGCTTCCTACAAGCTCCAACCCTCAGAGGGTCCTTCAAGAAGCAGATGTTGAAAACACATTTTCACAGGCTCAAGCACAGCACCCTAAAAATTACGCATGTTCCCTACCTTTGTGTTTTCATCCACAATTTTCTTCATATTTTTCAACAGATGATTATTAGGACCACCTTCTTTCTCATTAACATAAACGATCCGATCCAGGTCAGGAAAGTTGCGGTTCAGATCTATTCCCTGGGCATTGCTTCGGCCCACAAACCAGTCTTTGAGCTCACCCGGCTGGAAATAATTGAAGAGAAAAATCATCAGTCATATATTAGCATTGTTTATATATACTTAATGACACCATTGATATTTAAATACGACTTCTGCATGCCAATTATTTCGATCATTTCCTCCTTTAATAGCATTTTCACTATTTTACTGATGAAAGCATTAAGAAATTAAGGTTAAAATGTGTTTATGGACATATTGAAAATACTCTCATAATATTGTAAATATTAATCATATTTATCATTAAATTGCTTTAAAGAAGTCAATATATATTAGCAAGTAATAGATGGTATGTCTCAAAGCATACCGCTCTGTACTGAGATTTAAATAAAATATTTATTGCTTCCGGGAAGGCAATGAATCAAAGGCAATGTTCTTTGGGAAAATATTTGGTCTTGATACTGATGATCTTGATGCCCTGTGTCAAATAAAATATTATCACGAGAGGACATTTTTAAAATATTTAAAAGAACAAAACACTGAGTAAGATTAGAAGCTTTAAATAAATTTAACACAAATCATATATTAATAATATACTTCCTTTTTAGAGTCCCCAAGAAAAAGTAAAGCTCTACAGTTTTGTAGGTTGATGAATCATCTGTTCAAGACTGTAGCACTGTAGCCCGGTCCTCCCGTTGTTCATCGATTTGCTCGAGCAGGCCCAGTAACGTCTCCATTGTGCGACTTGCTGTTACTGTGTTTGGCATATCGAATACGTCACGGGGAGCTTGCCAGGCTCTGCTTTACAGGTGAGATACTCTCAGTAGCTTGCTGGGCTCTCCGAGAGGGGCGGAGGAATCGAACCCGGGTTAGCCGAGTTGGCCATGTGCAAGGCAAATGTCCTACCTGCTGTGCTATCGCTCCAACCCGTGTTCGATACTAAATCTTTTATTTTACTCACGGTATAAGCTGGAAATTTAATAAACTCCCAAGATAGTCAAATATATTAAATAATGTAAATTTTCTTGTTTTACTATTAATTTTACATCTAATTTTGTAAAATTCTATCAAAATTTTATATGAAATCTCTGGCATAATATGGATAACTTCCATAATTACTAAACATATAAATGTGTGTTTATATGTTGAGACGATGAGGAATAAGGGGGACCAGGAGATAGATCAAAGGGCTGGAACACATGCCGTGAATCACCAAATTCAATGCCAAGCACCACACAGTCTCTTGAGCACTTCAAAGAGAGTCCTATGGCCCTGAGCACATCTGGGTCCAAGCAGCACCCACAACACTGAAGCATCTGCCCCCCACAGCTGGGCAGAGCATTGCTGGGGGTGACCCTGGGGTCCTCTGGAAACTGCTAGGGAGCCCGACCCCCTGCATAAAGGATATTGAAAAAAAAAAAGGCCATGATGATATTTTGCTCATTCCTAGCACTTTAGTATCACCATAAATATTAAATACTAAATAAATATCAAATATTTCCTATCACTGCCAGGGCAGCCAGGGCCATGGGGCAGACAGAGGAGGAAACGAGAGCCAAGCCGGTTGATTGATCAGTTGCCATTTATTCCATTCTCACGCGCCTGTTCCAGTCTCCCTGAGCCCCCATTCTAGTCTCACACTGCCCCTGATTCCCGTCTCCTCCTGTCTCTCCCGCTCATCCCTCCGCACTCCATCCTGCTGCCTGGGCTCTCTCTCTTCATTTGCCTGCTCCTGTATTCTTCTACATCCTTCTCCCTCTGTCCCCCTTGTTAGTCTCTCGATGCTCCATCTTGCTGCCCTCCTCTCTCTCTCTCTCTCTCTCTCTCTCTCTCTCTCTCTCATCTCTCCAACTCTCTGGGCCAACTCGACACCCAGTCCAGTAGCAAAATCAACATAAGAAAGTCCTTCCCGACTGCCCATCAGGCTCAAGGGCAGAAACACCACCTAGGAGTGTTCCTCTTCTCCTTAGTCCAATAACCTAACTAACATCTTCATTAACATCTTAATTCTACTTCTTAATATTAGTTATTTTTGTATGGACAGAGTAAGAGATACATTTGAGGCTTTGTAGGGCAGCTCTCCCGGGAACATCTTGCCATAGACTCAGACTACAGTGCTCAGGCCAGATTAATCTTTTCTAACCCTAGCAAGGTCCAAATCTATTTATTCCCTTTTGGATCATGATAGCTGACCAAGCTCTTAACTTATAGTTAAGCATTATGGACACTTTGGCCAGGCCCAGTTTGATGCCAGGGGTAGCATATAGCTCACCACTTGCCCTGGGTCCATCTAGTCCCTCGTCGGGACCCTGCTTTGGGGATGCTAGAAGTAAGGGCAACTGAGGCTTAAGTTGAGAGAACTGATGTCCAGGAGGTAAATATCATTCAGAGTCAACTGAGTCCCAAGTTACTAAAGCATAGCATTAACTATCTTCTTGTGTCCGTACAAAAAGGACTTTGCTCTGAATTAACTATGCAAAGGACTTCAGGAGAAGAGAAAAACAATATTTACAAGCTAACAGAGCACAAAGAAAGAAGTTACAGATAAACACAGGAACGGAAGCACTATGACGGGAGTAACCCAATATACTTAAGCACTCTGTGGCAAGGCAGAAAGGACAAACCAATGTTATCCTACACTATGGACACTGCTGGGGAGCCGACCTCCTGCAAAAAGGATATTTAAAACAAGAAAAATTCCATGATGATATTTTGCTCTTTCTTGGCTCTTTAGTAGCATGTCCTCCCATTGTTCATCGATTTGCTCGAGCGGGCACCAGTAACGTCTCCACGGTGAGACTTGTTGTTACTGTTTCTGGCATATCAAATACGCCACGGGGAGCTTGCCAGGCTCTGCCATGCAGGCGGGATACTCTCGGTAGCTTGCTGGGTTCTCCGAGAGGGACGGAGAAATTGAACCCGGGTCAGTCGCATGCAAGGCAAATGCCCTACCCATTGTGCTATAGCTCCAGCCCAACACTAGTATCACCATAAATACTGAATATTAAATATATATTAAATATTTCCTATCACTATGACTTTTCTCTCTCAATATTATACCTATGTACAGAAATTCACTGTCAGAATTTCTTACATCAAACAAGTCAGGCAATTGGATTATTACTTTTTAAGGTACGTCTTACCTATAAATAAGCATATTGAATCTATTCCCGTGGATTAAGAAAATGATTTTAAAATTGCACAAAACAGGGGCCAGAGCGACAGTACAGCGGGTAGGGTGTTTGCCTTGCACGCGCCTGACCCGGGTTCAATCCCCGGCATCCCATATGGTCCCCCAAGCACCCCCAGGAGTAACCCTGAGCTTCTCTGGGTGTGACCCAAAAGGCAAAAAAAAAAAAAAAACTGTACAAAGCAGCAAATATAACGTGCCCCACACCAAATGTAATGGACCAAAAGATAGAATATGTATCATACATTTTCTCTCTTTATTTCCCCCTTAAACTTACTGTTGTATAGACAGACACAGTTTAGAGATCAGGGACACAAATTCATCTGGTCCTCCCCAGTATTTCTTTCTTATGACCAGTAGAGGGCGCTGTGGCACTACCACTCACTTGGCAATAGACATTTTTCAAACTGAGCAATTTTTTTTCGGTCTAACAGGAAATTTACCTGATCGCAAGGATGGAGGAATACGATTTGCTTAACCACAGAAACAGAACCTCCTGGACTTGGCACTACTTCCCCTTCACGATCTCAGGTGGAGAAACTCCCCCCATTCCTAACCTCAGTCATTTCCTTCCCAGCAAATTGGGTCTCACTTACTCTCCAGGGACTGGAGCGATAGCACAGCGGAAGGGCGTTTGCCTTGCATGCAGCCAACATTGCCGACCAGAGTTCGATTCCTCCGCCCCTCTCGAGAGCCCGGCAAGCTACCGAGAGTATTCGATATGCCAGACACAGTAACAACAAAGTCTCCAATGGAGATGTTACTGGGCCCGCTCGAGCAAATGGATGAACAACGGGAGGGCCTTTACTTTACTTTACTTTATTTTTGCATAAATTCTTTTCAAACATATACTCATGTAAAATAAACATGAATGTGTAGCATCAACTTTTTAAGATCTACATTTTCAGAGAAAAAATTACTTAAAACATATAGTACTACTGTGCCTAAGTACATGGATGATCCTGGACTATATTTACTATATTACATTTGACTTTCAAAGCAAAACCCATTGAGTATATTTTATTATTTACTTTCTCCATGGGCTGGAGCAATAGCACAGCGGTAGGGCGTTTGCCTTGCACGCAGCCAACATGGCCGACCCGAGTTCGATTCCTCTGCCCCTCTCGGAGAGCCCGGCAAGCTACCGAGAGGATCTCGTCCGCACGGCAGAGCCTGGCAAGCTCCCCGTGACGTATTAGATATGCCAGACAAAGTAACAACAAAGTCTCCAATGGAGGCGTTACTGGGCCCGCTCGAGCAAATCGATGATCAACGGGAGGGCCTTTACTTTACTTTTACTTTACTTACTCTCCGCAGAACCGTGGCAGCTTCCGGCGAGAAGTTTGCAGCTGAGCACTTAAGTGGAGAGGCAGAACCCGGAGGAGGGTGCCCTGCCGGAGCCAGCACGTACTCACCTGGGATGCCGCCTTCTCAAAGCCGTCGGGGTTCAGGGAGGGCATGATGTGGATCCGAGTGTCGTGGATCAGCTTGATGATGGTCTCGTTGCCCTTCTGGTATTCGTTGCACAGGTACTGTGCCAAGAAAATGAGCAGCTCGCGGCCGACAGCCTCGTTGCCATGCATGTTCCCGATGTATTTGAACTCGGGCTCACCTGAAAGGTCAGATTTCCTACAGCATCAGGGAGCAGGCAAATGACATCAGACCCCAATGTGTGCGTCACTGATTACGGACCTCATGTGTACCAAATATGTACCATATGTGTCATTAATTATGGATCTAATGTGTACCAAACGTGTTCCAGTATCAAATATGAATCAAGTATGTACCAGTATCAAATATATATATCACTATGGGTCTAACTGGTGGCACATCTTTTCCCTTCAAAACTGATGCCGGAGACCTACCACAAACACCAAAGTGTCCCTCTACCCTACTTCTGTTTCCCCTTGTCAGGGACTGAATTGTGCCCACTTTCCTTTGAACTCCTCCCCAGAGTAATCTTATGTGGAGCCCTAACTTCCAAAGCTGACTGTTTGGAGATAGGGCTTTGGGGGAGGTAAGTTAGATGACATGAGGTCACAAGGATGGGTCCTAATCCAACAAGACAAGTGTCCTTTACGAAGAGCAAAAACACAAGGTGTCTCTCTTCTTCCCTAATCACCCCCACTACTACCTCAGACGAAAGGACAAAGGCCACGTGAGGCCTCAGAGAGAAGGCAATCACCCACAAGCCAGGCGGAAGATAATGCAGATACTAAACCTGATGGCTTCTCCATCTTGGGCTTCATAGCTCCCAGAACTGCGAGAAAATTGTTTTCTGCTGTTTACGCCACCCAGTCTATGGTATTTTGTTATAGGAGCCAGAACAGACGAATGCTGTGATCCACCACAATAGCAGGACAATAAGAAGGCAGAGGCTTCTTTCCAACTAGTAATTGCTGAACATCATGGGTTTTCCCTAGTCCTCACTGAACATTTAAAAGTAGGAACTCTGGGAGGCCAGGGAGATGGCCGGAGCACAGGCTTTGCATATGGGAGCCCAGGTTTAACGTCTGATACCATATGGTTCCCCAATGCACTGCCAGGAGGAGACCTTCAAGCATCACTGCATGTGGCAAAAAAAAATTAAAAATGTTTTAAATATGCATTATTAATACCCTTCTGTGTTTTAAGATGTCCAAGCTAAAGTTCAGATCGCTAAACAGGCTGGGCCACAGTCACAAAGTCCATGGAGCCGGGATTCAAACTGAGCTTCAGTTTTCCTTAAAAAAAAAAAGTCCATGGCTATCAGGGAGATGCAAATCAAAGCAACAATGAGATATCATCTCACACCACAGAGGCTGGCACACATTCAAAAGAACAAAAGCAACCAGTGCTGGTGTGGATGTGGGGAAAAAGGGACACTCTTTCACTGTTGGTGGGAATGCCCACTAGTCCGGTCTTTCTGGAAAACAATATGGACAGTCCTTCAAAAACTAGAAATTGGGCTTCCATCTGACCCTGAAACACCACTTCTCAGAATATATCCTGAGGATGCAAAGAAGCACAGTAGAAATGACATCTGTACCTATATGTTCATTTTGCAGCACTCGTCACAAAAGCCAAAATCTGGAAACGACCCAAGTGCCCTACAACAGATGACTGGTAAAAGAAAATTTGGTACATCTACACAATGGAATACTATGAAGATGTTAGGAGAGACGAAGTCATGAAATTTGCTTATAAGTGGATAGACACGGAGAGTATCATGGTAAGTTAAATGAGTCAGAAAGAGAGGGACAGACATAGAAGGACTGCATCATTTGTGGAGTAGAAAACAACATAACATGAGGCTGACACCTAAGGATAGTAGATACACGGGGCAGACAGATTGCTCCATAGCTGGAAGCCTGCCTCATGAGCAAAGGGGAGAAGGCAGCTGGAATAGAGAAGGGATCACTAAGAAAATAATGGCTTGGGAGGAACCGGTCGGGATGGGAGATTTGTGCTGAAAGTAGATAAAGGACCAAACATGATAACCTCTCAGTATCTGCATTGCAAATCATAATGCCCAAAAATAGAGAGAGAGTATAGGGAATATTGTCTGCCACGGAGGCAGGGGAGGGTAGGAAAGCGGGGGGGGAGGGGGTATACTGGGGATATTGGCGGTGGGGAATGTGATCTGGTGGAGGGATGGGTGTTCGATCATTGTGTGATTGTAACCCAAACATGAAAACTTAATAACTATCTCATGGTGATTCAATAAAATTAATACATATATATACATATATATACACGATACAAAAAAAGTCCATGGCTTAGAAAATAATACTAATAATGATAATAATAATAATCCAAGTACTAACTTCAAGAGTCGAACTTCATGGGTCCAAACCCTAACCTTCACTTATTCTTGAGCAAGTGAGTTCAGTTCTGTTTCTTCATTGGTAAAATGAGATCACAGATTTGACCTCATAATATGATGAAAAGAACTGATTACAGGGCCAAAGGGATAGTAACAATGGATACGGTGTTTGTCTTGCATGTAGCCAGTTTGGGTTTGATTCCCAGCACTGCATATGGTCCCTTGAACACTGCCAAAAGTAATCCCTGAAAATAGCCAGGTGTGGTCCAAAAACCAATTAAAATATGATTTAAATAATGAGTGTAAGTGCTTAGGATGGTGCCTGGCAGATACTAAGTACTATATGTTTATATAATATTTTTTTCTTGTCCTCTTTATTATCACTACATCATAATATCTGTCCTTATGAGGCATTTTATCATATATCACTCATCAAATCAAGATTTCTCCTTATTGGGGCTGGAGCAATAGCACAGCGGGTGGGGCATTTGCCTTGCACGCGACCAACCCAGGTTCGATTCCCAGCATCCCCTATGGTCCCCTGAGCACCGCCAGGAGTAACTCCTGAGTGCAGAGCCAGGAGTAACCCCTGTGCATCGCCGGGTGTGACCCAAAAAGAAAAAATAAAAGATTTCTCCTTATCACATCCTACCAACATGTGAAAGGCAGTTATTTTTATGATTGTTATTGGACAAACACATCGCAAAGAGAATGAAAACCCTGCTGAATGGCTCAGAATTCCAAACCGACCACGGTTGCTGTCTGCTGCTCTCCCATGCGTTTCAGGGAAAATAGTAAAATTCAGAGGAAACAGTGATCTGAACCCTCTTGTTTGCTTCTTTCTGCTCCATCCATCCCACAGGCCCAGTTTACAGTGGAAAAGATTTCCTTTCCACTTAGAAAAGCACCAGAACCCAAGTAAAAGGACAGGAATTGAAACTATTTTATTTTTGGAAATATGTTATCAAACTATCTCTTTGAAAGAGATTCCTGTGTTTTGTGAGCGATGGCTTGCCACAGAGCCATGTCCTTGGGTAACCTCTCAGCCTGAGCTCAAACTCATCCTAATTGGCAGATCAGATGGGAGGAGGAACAGCATTATTTATACTCTCCTCACTTTGTTTTGTTTTATTTTGCCTTTATAGTAAGCGCAAGTGCCTCACAGAACAGCCCCCTTGTGTTCTTTGGTGGTGATATAATAACACTGTACATCGCAACTAGAATCATTAGTGCTATTGTAATTGTGCCACTAAACTATAAGAATAAAAAGATAGATCCCTTAGCTGCCATAAAGTCATTAGTTGTAGATTCACAACTAATCTCAAAATTTGGGCAAGCTAAGCCACTAAAATTCATGGGTACAAGGGTCTTCTGGCTGGAAGCTCTGGGGCACCCTTGGGAGGGGGGTAGGCTGAGTCTCCACCCGGCCAAAGCCCTGGAAGCTGCGCCCACACCCCACAGCTACTGCCATGCCAGATGCCAACTGCAATGCGTCTGCAAAGATGCCAAGCCGACAAAAATTCTAGATACACCGGATCTTGGCCTGAAAACTCTGGGGTCTTTTCAGAGGCAGGAGGGCATGCTCCCCTCACTCCCTTTACTGCAAGAAGCTGGGCAACCACACCCACAGTCCACAGCCACTGCTATGTAAACTCACAATCCAGTTCTCTTTTTTTTTTTTTTGGATTTGGGGGTAGTACTTGGGCCACACTCAGCGATGCTCAATGCTTACTCCTGGCTCTGCACTCAGAAATCACTTCTGGAGGTGTTCAGGGGACCGTATGGGATGACAGGGATCAAAACCAAGTCTACTGCATACAAAAAAATGCCCTACCCTCTGTGCTCTCGCTCTAGTTCCCCCTCAGTATTCCAGTTATACAGATCCTGAAGCTCTTGAACACCTCCAAATCCCAAGACACTGACATCCAGTAGAGCACACCAAATTAGAAAGGAAAGTAACGTGGAAGGCACGATCAATACACCAAAACAATAACACAAAAGGCTCAACTAGCAACAATCAGTTTAGTAAGCCTCTGATGACTTAATGACCCCATTGTGAGATACAACGATTTTCAAAAATTTTTTAACTGAAGAATTTTTCAATAACTCCATTAGCCAGTTAGTTGTAACAAGAAATATAAAATAAATTGTTTTGTGGCTGCTAAGGGGGCAGACTTGGGGGGGGAGGGCGGGTCGAAGAACTGGCAACAATGATGGAAGGAAAGTCACTCCGGTGGCGGAACTGCTGTTGGAACATTGAATGACCGAAACGACTAACAACTTTGTAAACCACAGTATTTAAATAAATATTTTTAAAAGATAATTAAAAATAACAAATAAAATTATAGTAGGCCTCCTGTGACCTGCCCAGAAGAGGTATTTGCTTCTGACTTCAATCATCCTGATCACCTTCTTCTACTCTGTCAAACTCAGGTGTTTTATACTTTCATCTTTAATGATGTGCTCCTTTGACTGAGGTACAGAAGAAACTCTGCTTGTTTGCTATAAAAAAAATTGGAACTAGGAAACGAGAGTGTAATACTGCTTTTTTTTAAATGATTTCATTGAAAACCACTGAAAATTATTTCATTTCATTGAAATGTTTTTCAATGGTTTTCAAATCGTTTGCTCTGTAGAAAAGAATCTGGTTGTGCTCTTTAGGCCAAAGTGGTTCTGAAGCTCCAGTGACACAACAGTGCTTACCGTCAAATTCATATTCATAAATGAAGAACTCTGAAATGATCTACTGTTTCTCTGGATAAAAAAAGAATCTTTAAAGATGAAACAGCAATCACTGATGGAACAAC